ACTGATAAAATCAGTTAATGACAGATTCAATGATTATAACGAGGTGATTTCACCTGAAAAGTGCTTTCCGGGATGACAGTGATCTTTTGCGGATGGAGAGTAAACGATGAAAACACTTGTATGGTATGGGGGCGAGCGTTCAGGGTTTTACCAGAGGTTGATTTCGCTGATGACGTCAGTGAAACGGCTCCCGTGGAAAGAGCTTTAACTTTATAACGCGACCCAGAGATCCTTGAAAAGGAGCGTTTTAGGACTAAAAACTATATACAGATGCAACAATCTTACTTGGTGATGTGCACCGCAGGATCAGCGGATTCGATAACAGCATTGGAAAGTGCACCATGATCTCTAGAGAACGAACTACCGGCTTCATCGACTGCGTCAACATATACCTCAGCTTCGGATCCTACTTCCATCTGAGCAATTTTTATGTAAAAAAGCATAGATAAAATTCCCAAAGAAGGAACATACAAACTGCGGTCCATAAATGACAAGTGAGTGGATGTCAGTGATCTTAACGGGGATATCGAGAGGATCACCACTTACGCAAAGATCCTCTATACGAAGTGAACCGCCTCCTTGAGCTTTTGGAGTGACCTTGAAAAAATAATTGTAAAAAAACCCTTATTTAACGTTTCTTACCATACCATGACCATGCTATCTTTTACAGATGCTTCGAAAGGTGCACCTGGGAGTTCATGCACTCGGAAATAACCAGATCCATGGTTCAGTCTAACTTTGCCCAATGCCACGACTTCATTCCATAGGACCTGAGAGTTCCTGCTTCAAACGCGAAAGAGTTGAAAAAAGCAAACATACGAGATTAGGTGGATCTGCCGTTACAGGATTCACAAACTTGAGCTCTACATTACTCTTCAAATTATGACGCTGGTTGTTTCTTCCAGAGAGTTCTGCGGTGATGACAGCTGAGCCAGGTGTACCAGAACCTCTCACGATTGTATAATCTGCAAAAAGATAGTGGGAAAGGTAAAACATGAATTAAACTTAATTACAACCACATGAAAACTTTGACATTCCATATAACGTCTAAAAAAATCAGGAAAAAA